TGGTGCTGGTTAGGTGGTCTGCAGCCGGGCTGATCCACCGCAACTTCAGCCGGATCCGGGTGAAACCGTAACAGCAGAAGTACTGTCAAGAAGTTGATGAAATACATCGAAAACTCCAGCTCATGAGCCCGGCGCTGGTGTAGGAAGGGGCCAATACTACTCCACGACAACGGTCGGCCCCACGTCGCACAACTTACCCTAAGAAAATTGATGGAGCTAGGCTATGAAACTCTCCCGCATCCACCATATTCCACAGACTCCCACAGACTACCGTTTCTTTGAGCACTCGACGGCTTTCCCAAGGAGAAGTGCTTCAAACCCCAACTTGATGCTTCCGCGGCATTCGACGATCTCATCGTCCCTAGATATCCGGACTTCTACGCGAATGGTATGAACAAACCTGTTTCTCGTTGGCAAAAGTGTGTCGATAGTAATGACTGTTATTTCGATTGATGAAGTTCTGTTTAAGCCGAGATATGTGAAGTTTGAGGCGCAAAATGCAAGAACTTTCTTCACGACCTAATACTTCCCAAGTCCGCCACCCGTTCCATCGGGTATACCTCTCAAATCCATCAGCAGCAGTTAACAGCAAACTCTCTGAATTCCGCATGTTTCAATCCAATCCACGCGAGGTAATGCCCTTCTTGGAGTCCCTCTACGGCACCACTGTAGGAACGTTATCCGCATGTGTAGCGGAAACCTTGGATACTTCGTCGCATCCTGCAATCTGGACAACCCCCAATATCAATGCGTACCCCACCCTGGCCACCTTCCAGATACCCAAGGTTAAGAAAACCGGCTGGACTGTTGGTTAACAAATAGAGGGGGCATACCAAACCGTCATCATTCGCGCCCGCATTGTTCATATCACTCCCGCCGAGGAGCATATCACAGTTACTGCGCAGATTCATCCACGGGATACCNGTCAGTCTCGCGCCTATTTACTCCCCAGAGTAAGGCATGGTCGGCGGCCCGTGCAATTTTGTGGGAAACGCTACCATTTTTGGCGAACCCGCTAAAACGCGAAAGACCATCACAGCCGCTGTCGGAGGCGAACGCGTTGTCTTAAATAGTCTTCAGGTCAACGCAATAAATTGGTTCCATAAGGATTTGCTCCTCCTGGTTGTTGATGGCGCATATGGGGCAGGCAAATCACTTTGCACTGCACTAATGGCAGTACAAGCCGTCAAAAAGGGTAAAAAGGTGCTCATCGTAGCAGTACAGAACTCCGCATTGGACGTAATCTGCTCAAAATTAGCGCAGATGGACACACCTGACATCCATCCCGTCCGGTATGTAAACGGAATGCTAGCACGCGATGCCCTTCGTACCGGCTCCTACGACATTGCCTCGATTATAGAACGGCTACCCGTAATGCATAGCGATCGCATGGGTCCGTCCGCAGACGCGATGTTTCGCGTCTTCACGGATAAGCTACGTCGCCTCCGCGAGTTTCTCTTCACGAGCGTGGAACAGTGTCTCATGGCTTCGGAACACAATACCCTACTTTTCCTCGAGGAGGCTAACTCAGAGCGTGTTAAAGCCCTCACCTCCGAGTTCCTTATAATCTATCTACCCAACATCTTCATATGTGCTATCGCCTCGGCAATTAACCTTACCACCAAAAGAGGGTTGTGGCGCCGCCCATCTAGGAGGCAATGGGACACCGTATTCCTCGATGAAGCATAAATGATCCCAGAAGCCACACTCATCGGGCTCTTTTCACGATTCCCTGACGCAACCTACACACTCACTGGCGACACTAAACAGCTGCCTCCTTTCGTAGGCACTCAAAAGGCTCATCGCGCAGCTGCTCTTTGCTCCCAATCAGTTCTCGAGGTCGCGAAACGCGTAGAGAACGCGCCGACCTGCAAGATCAGCACCGTATATCACCCGCATGCCAGGATGATGGAGCTGAATTCTTATATTTTCTATAACAACGAGCTCGTATGCGGAACACCCGTTGACGAACGCCAAGCGCTACTTCGTTTGCTGCCTATGCCACACAAAAAGATTCCAATCGCATTCGTCGACGAGCTAGGCAAAGCCGTAAAATCCATCACAGGCTCTCAGAGTAACGAGACATTAGGATTATTTGCCTCTATCGCGACCAGCTCTACCTGTGTGAATCTATTTTAGCCAACACACATGTCACCATCAAGACTGTTGATAGCGCACAGGGTTCAGAAAAGTCCACCGTCATATTATGCACTACGCGCACCAAAGTGCTAGGTGCTAACCTCACCTTTTTCGATGACCCCAAACGCCTTAATGTCGCACTGTCCAGGGCCCGTGTTCGTCCTCGGCTCGGTACCGTTAATGGAGAGTTCNCCCCTATGGGGTTCTATTATCCGTTGGTGCCGTTCCCGCTGCGTACTCGCCACCCTAGATTTTTTTCGGGACCGCGTAACCCCCACACATTAACCCCACGAGTCCGAGGTCGGACTCTTTGTAAAAGGGGAAGATGTAAAGGATGGGTAAAGCGCGAGTTAGAAGAATGCATTTATTAGCCCCGAGGTTTACGTTACGGTTGATGTTTACAGTTGAGTTTGCCTTCGCGTCAATTCTCAGCTTCATCTTATGTTTTCAGTCGGCAGCGGAGATAAGGCAAGGCTGGGAACCGTATAAAAGCCGCGCACGACCGTACTCGAGGTTCTCTGGCTCGCTGGTGCTCCGACTACATCTACACAAGACGACGTCACGTTTCGGCGGACCTCACCACCAACTCCGAATTGCTCAACCCGGTGACCGACGACCGAGGACACTGAATGAGTCTCGTGCTCGTCTGTTCCCAGGCCAGAGACCCCGGGGCCATTCTTCATATCCGCACATATTCATGTCGCTATATCGCCTGTATTACTGCATGTTATCAATCGTGTTCCGGTTCTATATCGTGTCTTAAGGATAAACGATATCTGTATGAGGTGTTATGTCTTGGATAGGTCATGACCTGAGGCTGAGGTTAATGGGTTTAAATGATCCCGATGGGCCGGATCATTACTATACGTATTAGCGAAGGTTATAAGGAACACCTGCGGTATACAGAAAGCGCTTCGTCGAAAATCTTATTGCATTATAGACGCGCTTATCCTATTTATATGAAAGCAAACGTGGTGCGGAATCTTCTGGAAAAGAAGGTAAAGCTTAGTAAACGAGGGGATCCAGTTGTTGATGCTAAAATTCAAATTACCTTCTGAAACGACGGATACTTTGTTGGCAATTTAAGGACCTGAGCCCGCACAGAACAGCTGACGGTGTAAGCCTCATTGTGCTTCTCTCAACGACAAAACGGCACGTGAGGTTAACCGAGTAGTGGAGAATTTTCAGCTTCCCATTCGACTCGTTTCCCAACCCCCTCCCCCCGTACACTGGAAGATCTTCTAACATCGTCTCGAAGTTACGAAAAACGGAGACGCGAACAGTCTTGTTGATACCGCACAACTGTGAAGATCTGTGTACTTCAGGGTACTGTTCATTTGATTCAATGTGGAGGATGTGGAGAAAAATACGGGGGAGACCGCGATACCACTGAGAATCCGTCTGGATGAACATAGGAGAGCGTTGACCACTGCCTATCCGCACAGCAGTTTTTCCAGGCACCGTACAGTCAGGCATGAGAAAGAAAACGCTCCATTCTTTGATGTGAGGGTTTTGCATAGATATTTGGTATGGCCACTAGAAAGGAAAGTCATGGAGGCACGGGAAATACCGCATCAAGCCGGAAGTCAATGAGAAAGAAGAGATGCGTACCTACTGAGACTGATGACACTTAGTCACCTCAGGGCAAGAGCGGCGTCATTTTCCCCTTGAGTTCCCCGTCAAAGGGTCCATCCCCCTTTTTCCCCAGTATTTCTGGTTGACTTGGTATGATTTGATGTGGTTTGTATTGTAACTGGTAGTAACTGCTATGCATGCGGTATGCAGCAATATATTGTAATAATTAAGGTCTGACGGAGGCATTATATGCCGAAAGCTCACCAATAAAAAGTGAAGGGTCAAAGAGCTTCAAAAAGTACACACAACGACACAAGTCCTGATGAAGCTCAGAGATAGCAGTATTTTGAAATGTTTTGAGGTTATCAAATGGCACTAACGCTTTATATGACAGCCGTCAAGGTTTCCTTCATCATAGTGACTGATAATAATACAGGAGAACACTCACATTGACGCAATGAATCAAAAACTCTGCAGGAGAGGATTAGGCACAACAAAGCAAAGGCACAACTAAGGTCGGTCATAAAGCCAAGGTTCTATGTATCTGACTAATTAAGTTATTGCTCCTTCTTCTTCTACTGGGATATTCTGATCGCAACATTCGTGACAACTATGTGGAAAGGAGAGAAAGGACTATGCGAAAGTTTGTGGCTGAAATTCAAATCCACATTCGAACCCAAACGTAAAAACATCAAATCAGACCTCCAAGACTGTTGTTACTCATTTGGCGCATAGAACAAAGTAGTGAGACATAAAAGAGACGGTGCTCCGAGAATATGGAGGCTCAACTAGGCTCTCATTGAAATGATGTCTTGTTTCGCATTAGATAGTCATATCCAGAATGACAGCTTATCGAAGTCATAGCATGACAACAGCATGCATCTCTGCGTTCTTTGGTTATAATGAACCCCGACACGCATTGAAGAGCTGCTTTAGAGCGAATAATATACTGCATCAGGTTTTTACTCTCCGCAACCCCTTTTTTCCTGCAGATTCCAACCGGTCTGTTCTTATCATAGCCGGACCTCGTTATCTTATGACAGCTGGTTAAAAGCAAATTTAGCAGAATCCGACATCTCAGCAATCGCTAGGCAACATGGTTAGTCAACTGCCTGACCTAGTTTCTAGAATAAATTTTTCTCATTTATACTGAAGTAGTGAGGAATATTGAAAGTATATATTTCAGATGTACTTGGTGGTTACTCTTTGTGCCTATTTGTACGTGGCATGCGTTGCAGATGCAAATGGTTTGTCACCGATTTTGTCTGAGAACTATTATTAATGGAGGAACACAACTAAAAATCACTTTTGTTACAGCTGTCCGGGAAATTCCACTAGAGGCGCAAGCGTTGAGTGGTGAGCCGCTCGTTGCTTATCTCAGAAAAAATCAAAACCTCTTCGAGGTGATCGAGTTCTTACCGAAAATTGATTTCGAATAACTGAACTCCTTTTTTTTGCAGGTAAATTCAGATCCCACACCAGGTTTTGAACGAAAAATAATGGATATAAGATTCAAATATCAGAATCAAGATCTTATTGTCAAGGATGATCCGGAACCTGTCGATAATATTCCAGCGGAGTAAGTCGTCCGAAGTACCGTACATACTTCATATCATTGTTCATTAAAAAGGCACACCCTTTGAAAATCCGTAAGTACATGAAGAATGATCTAAACCCAGACAGTATGCCTTTCTATTTTTGCTCTCCTCCACCCCCATAAGCGTTATAATTCAAAGCGAAGGGATTCTAGATAAGAATAACTTGAAGGCCTTGGAGCTTACCTAGGCGACGAAAAGCTGAAGAAAGCGACGAGAATATTTGGTGCCATCCCTAAGCTGACAGCGAGTTCTACACTTGCCTTTTAGGGAGGCGATGCTTTCATTCACGTAAGTCGCCCAATGAAGGAGTGGCTGCAATTCCAACAATAGAAAATCTGCCTCGGCCAGTTTACAGTATCGGTCGATCGAATGGAATCTGCAGGGCATACCTATCAGAAAGTTCATACAAAAAACCGTCACTTTTGCAAAAAAGCTAAAGTAAGTAAGTAAGCTAGTATCATGGAATCCGGAACGAAATCGGCAGTGAAGTGCTTTGAAAGCCCTGCACGGAAATTACATATTTGATGCTGAGATGAACAGCGAGTATTTATCACGTAATTTTTCAACGTTATCCATTAACAATGATAAGATGCTTAACCTCCCAAGGGGCCTTGAACTATACCAGTGAAACGGTGTAAAAGCTAAAAATCATCTATACCACAAATAAAGTTAAATCGATGCAGCCATATATACGAGGGTTAATCAAAGTGATAAATAAGTTGATAGTGTTGGAAATACTCCTTCTAGGTTGTCATTCCAAGAATGCAATTTTCTAAGGTGACCTCTTTATGAAACACACCGCATAGTTGGCTGTGCGTAGCGAAGCTTCATGGCTAAGTGACAATTAAACGGATGCTCTCTTGGGCGGCTCTGAATAATGCTATGCTCTTTAAAATGAGCGGCTCTTGTTTCCTCAGCGATCCGATCATTGCAGCAGGAATGTGTGGAACTCGATTCCCTGAAGAAATGTTATTCATACGCCCCTAACTTGCGTAGACGTGGGTGTCCATTGACGGTCTTCTATTTGGCCA